TGTCCACGGCTGATCCAATGTCTGGACATTGGTCAGAAACCATCCATGCACCTTTGGCCAGCCTGTCGCCGTGATCAAATGTTGGATGGGTTCGGTGGCAAGTTCTGACTCGGTCAAGATCCTAGCCTCAGTCAGGCAAGCCTTGGCGCGCACGGACCCTGTGCCCAGCTCAGCTAAGAAAACGTCTCCTAGCAAACGTGTGACGATGGACTTGGGCACGCATGACAACTCTCTGGCAATCAATTTCTGTAGCCATGGAGGATCCACCAGCAAAGCTCGATCGGGCCCCGACATGGCACAGCACAAGATCGATGTCTACGTGATCCATGCTTGTTAGTGGGCCTGGCAAAAGCATATTGACAAATCCACTATCCTCTTCAGCTACTTGCCAATCTAATATGCTTCTAAACGGCCTGAAACATACATTCACAAACTTTAAACCAACCTACTCATGCTTCTTCACCCGCTCTGTTCAAGGGGAGTTCTCCCTCGGACGCTAGAGCCAGAAACGAGCCCGGACGCACAAGCCGAAAAAGAAAGCAAGACACCGGATAGGCATTTACCAGCCACTGGAAAAGGCATTTTGACTTTCCTTATTGATACACCCCCAACCGCATCAGGCAAATCCAATCGAAGATTTAACTCTTAGAGCTTTGGACAGCGTGCCCTTTGGGTTCGAGCAGTATCTGCGCAACTTTCAATCATCACACCAGGGCTCGCCATCCAAACTCCGGCGCAAAAGGTGTTCCCGTCTTTACTCTCAGTACTTCTCGTCCCGGCGCCACTCACCTTCACCTTGCCGCTGGCAAGGGTCATTCTGCCTCATGCAGCCGCAGCTCAAAATTCAAGCGTCTGCTTGCAGCTACAGGGCTGTGTCCACTGGGCTGAGTTGCCGGGATGTCATGGTCGCCCTTGCCGGCGTTTCTGCATCTCCCACGCTGCCGCCACTTGTCTGGGCTGGCGGAATCTCATCATCCGGCGTGGACTGGACAGCTTCAGCTCGGCCAATCAGGCTTGGCGGAGTGCTGTTTATATATCCTACGGTCCCGCTGGGAGCCGCTCCGTCCTGCACGTTCTCTTCGGACGCGGACATGTCAAGGGCTCCTGCCAGCCTCGGATGCTAGAGCCAAAAAGTTTCCTGATCAATATGCGTTCTATTGAAGCGGCGCGGAAAAAGCATATGCACAATGTCTTTTGCTTTCGTTTCCAATATGTTTATCAAATTTCTGAACAAGGCTGAAAACAGTTGCATATACCCTGACTCAATGATTCATTACAATGATTTATAATCACACTGTGTTTACAGTGTTTACATGTAAACATAGATATGCAATGTGCATCTACAGCAAGCAACAATGCCTCAGCACACATGCAAAGAAAACGCCGTCAAGTTTTCTCACAATACTAGCATCCAACTACACCTATTGAACCCCTCCTCTGTACACGTTGAATGCTGAATGCTAAAGCTTGAAAGACTTGGGAGATCAACAAAATACGCAAGAACTAATCCTCACACTCATCCTGACTCATCGTGCTTGCGCTTTGAGAGTGAGCCAACTGCAACGATGATAGCTGTCTCCTCGGTTGCCTGCATCACAGATGCGAGAACACGGTCACGGTTCTTGATCATGTAGAAATCTCCCATCTTCCACTGGAACAAATTCTTTGTGATCTCGTTTTCCGTGTACTCACCACTGGACCTCAAGTGCACCAGGATCCTATCCATGATGCTGCCAAAGGTAGACGCGGTTGAAACAACCATGTTCATCATGCAAGGGTCAGTTCCGAACCATCAAACTTGACCGTGTTGAAGATCAGCTTCATCTCTGGATCAGACAACGATTTGGTGGATAGCTCTGTAATCACTTTGATCGGGCGAATATACTTGAAAATCACCCACTCCTCGTGGTTTGAATGCTTGTAGATCAAGAACTGGTGACCCGCATCCTGATCACTTACATGAGTCTGGTTGATGAGCACATATCAACTTTTTAACACTATCCAACGACACAAACATTGACAAACAAATGAAAAATACTTTGTGGTTAAATCGGCCGAAACAAACCAATTTACTAACGTTGATTCAAAACACTGAGCTCCGACCAGGACATACTTCACATTTGAGTAGGAGAGACGTTGAATCAGGACTGGAAACGTGCCAAGTACAGTTCCAAGGCAGCCCTCTCCTGTCAAGCATTCCCAGACATGAGAAAGGACTTCGCTCTGACTCTGGCTGGATGAATGCCAAGACAAGCCCTGGATAGCGTCCAAGTCTGGAACGTGTGATGTGTATTTGATGTGAAACTCCCATCGTGGCTTATGAGCTGCCGCCATGGTATCCAGAATCGCGGAAAAGGCACAACGTTTCACTCTTGCTTTTTGTGTTTTGAGCATCACATAAATAGCACAAAGAAGTGAACACTTCAGTGAACAATCCATAATGCTGAAATATAAGTCATCCTGATTCATCCTGCATACATATATATATATACAGAAGGGGTGGCCATGGGGCCTGGGTTTTTGTTGTCCATAATTTTTCACAAATATTAGGTAAATGCATCAGTGCCACAATCAAAACCAAAAAACACTGATAAATATGCATAGAGGATAAAAAACACATAAGAAAAAACCAAAAAGAAATAAACAAACATTGGGAAAACAAAAAACAATTCTGGGAGACTCTTGGCTGGACCCCCCAAAATCAGAAAAACCAAAAAACAAAAAAAAGCCTTGGGCAAACCAAAAAAACAAAAAAACAATTCTCAGAGACTCTTGGCTGGACCCCCTTTTCCTCAAGACTTCCCCAGAATTGTTTTTTTTGTTTTTTGGTTTCCCAAGGTTTTTTTGGTTTTCTGATTCTTCTGATTTTGGGGGGTCCAAGCAAGAGTCTCTCAGGCTTGTTTTTTTGTTTTTTGTTTTCTCAAGGTTTTTTTGGTTTAGCATCTGAGCTTACTTCTCACATCAAGGCATCAGTTCTTTTTGCTTACATCTGAAACCGTCTGAGCTCAACACTTCCTTTGTCCTTGTCCAAATCTCCATATACAAGTCTGAGTGCATTAACTGCTGACTGGTATCAATGCGGTTGCCACTTGCATTTCCAAACAGCTTGACGTGCAGTTGCGAGGACACTCTGTCCTTTACATGAAACGGTTGACATGACACGGTTTTAATTAAAATTCAGTTTTAATTCAGTTCTATCTTAGCTCTAACTCAAATCCAATTTAATTCTACCTAATTCTGTTCTAGCTCTAGTCTATTTAGTTTAAGAAAGCACATGCTACAAAACCCCGTGTTTTACAGTATTTTTTGCCCTGGAAGTGCTGGGAACAAGACTAAAACTCTTTTTTGGAGTAAATAGTTAGATTTACTTATTGTCAGTAATCACTGGAGATAATATATACATATTAAACATGTTTTATGTACAAGCTTCTGATTCAAGAGCTTCCCTCTAGATCTCTGGGGATGATCATTTCTACAAAAAACTATATATAAGTTTTCATTTCAAAAGCTTTCCTCTGGATCTCTGGAAATGGTCATGTCAATTTAAACATGCTATATATCAATAAATCAGTCTTTCTTTCAAGAGCTTTCCTTTCATGAAAACACATATATATACATATATATATATGGGATACCTACTTTCCCAGAGATCCTGAGGAAAGCTTTGAAAATGCAAGCTCTTGCCCGCAGACATCTAGAAGAAAGCTTTTAACATACAAGGTTTCTATATAGTTGTTTGAACCTAAACATGATTATCTGCAGAGATCTATAGAGAATCGTTTATAACATAAAAGCGTCTTTATACAATCTTTCTAAATCTAAACATGATTATAAGCAGAGATCTAGAGGACAATTGTTAAAACGCCAACTTTTTATGGCCTATTTCTTTTCTAATTGTCTTGTTCAAAACCATCTGAATGACTGATTGCTGCTTCCAAAACAATAAAATTACCCTGACTCAGGAATACATAATATATTTGTTCATATAGAGTGAGAGCAAGAATAGATATGTGTGTTTATATGGAGAGGGGCTGCCACTGAAGCATTTACCTAAAATTTTGGGGATAACCAAAACCCAGGCCCCACGGCCACCCGCTCTCTCTCTCTCTCTATATGTATAAGTATGCCATATATATCCTGCAGAGCGCTGTTCATAAATCCTGCAGTCCCGCTGGGAGCCGCTCCGTCCTGCACGTTCTCTTCGGACGCGGACATGCCAAGGGCTCCTGCCAGCCTCGGATGCTCGAGCCAAAAAGTTTCCTGATCAATATGCTTTCTATAGAAATGGCCTGGAAAAGCATATCCACAAATTGCCTGCTTTCCGTTACATGTCCTTTGCTTTTCTATCCAATATGCTGTGCTTTTCAAATTTCTGAACACAAGAGGAAAGGGTTACACAAACATGGCACACCCAGGGTCCCGCAGGGAGCCCTTGCCACTAGTCGAAATTTCTTGAAATGAAATGAATGCATTCTCGCCCGTGGCTGCAGAAACGCTGCATGTATACAGCGGTGAGGTGCCCAGTGGCTGTGAGTGGCTGGTCGAATGGCTGCGCGAGTGGCGGCTCGAGCGGCTGCAAGTGGCTGCTCAAGTGGCTGCAAGTGGCTGCGCAAGTGGCTGC